ATTCTTTAAAAAATTAATATTGCTTTCTTATTGAGAAAGAGAAAGAGAGAGAGTATCGATATATTTTGAAAATTATCTTTTTAATTTCGATTTAATCGTTTATTTAAGAACGGAAGATCGATCGAAACATGATCAATTTATTCGAAATGATTAGGAACGTTTGCATAAACGTCTATCTGCCCTCCTTTGACAGGTTTCCATAGTTTTATGAAATTATTATGGAGTACACGAATTCTTTAAAAAATTAATATTGCTTTTTTATCGAGAGAGAAAGAGAGAGAGAAAGAAATATCGATTAAGCGATAGATGTATCCGGATATTTTGAAAATTATCTTTTTAATTCGATTGCATCGTTTATTTAAGAACGGAAATCGATCGAAACATGATCAATTTATTCGAAATAAGCTAGTGTTCGGGAATATGTTTGCATGGATCTATCCGGTCTCCTTCGAGACGTTTTAATAATTTTTTTGAAATTTGTTACGGATCCACGAGTTCTTTAAAAAATTATTGCTTTCTTATTAAGAGAGAGAAAAGTATCGACAGATATATCCGGATATTCTGAAAATTATCTTTTTAATTCGATTGCTTTATTTAAGAATAGAAGATCGATCGAAACATGATCAATTTATTCGAAATAAGCTAATGTTGGGCAACACGTTTACATCATCTATTACAATCTATCTGCCTTTCTTCCATAGGCTTTCACAGTTTTTTGAAATTCTTACGGAGTTCTTTAAAAATTAATATTACTTTCTTATTGAGAGAAATAAAGAAAAAGAGAGAGAGAAATATCGATTAAGCGGTAAATGTATCCGGATATTTTGAAAATTATCTTTTTAATTCGATTTCATCGTTTATTTAAGAAGATCGATCGAAACACGATCATTTGCCGAATAATAATCAACTTATAATCAAAATAAATCTCGGCTCAGAGTTTTGTATTTCGTGTTTCGTCATTCTTGTGCAATAATTGTACTTTCATACTGTGCCACGTATTATTACAGTTGTATTATAATTTCAGCGTTGAAATTTAAATTCCATTAACCGAGCTTCTCGTGTTATATAAATTAAATATACTTTCATCCCTAAGATAATTTCACAATTAACGAAAGTTTATCGTTTAACGATTATTGTTCTCTCTCTCGTCCGTATCAAATCGATTCGTCTGTAAACGATTGCGAGAACGTTCGAAATTTCGCATTGGAACGAAGCGGAAGTTACAGTAATTCTGGTTAAAACGGTGTCGGGAGCTTCGTCCGCGCTGCAGACCACGGATGCAAATTTCGCAGTCACCGATATATCGACGCTGGAAGCGAAG